TGGGGTTTTTTTGTGCGTGTGTTTGTTTGTATGTGTGAGTATTTATATGTGTATGTGTCTGAGTGCATTTGTGTCCGCGTGTGTGTTTATGTGCGTGCGTGTGTGTGTGTGTGTGTGTGTGTGTGTGTGTGTGTGTGTGTGTGTGTGTTGGTGGATGCATGTGTACATATGTGTGTGTGTGTTTGTGCCTGCACGCGCGCGCACGTGTGTGCGTGTGTGTGTGCGTGCGTCTGTGCGTGCGTGCGTCTGTGCGTGCGTGCATGCCTGCGTGCGCGCATGTGTGTGTGTGTGTGTTAGTGGATGCATGTGCATATGTGTGTGTGTGTGTGTGTGTGTTTGGGGAGGGGGTCTATCTGATACTCTTCCTGCATGGAGAGAATAACAAATTAAGAGCAAGAGGGTCCCCACAGATAAGCTTCTTGTATCCTTATCATTTGGGTGAAAAGAATAATAATATGTTAAAATGCTTTCTGAAAAGTTTGTTCTAAATGGTTATTTTCCGATGCGTGACATTCATCTGCCCAGTGCACACTACCAATCGGATTCATCGGATTGAGTCGGGGCCAGCAAGACTTTTCATCATTTGTGGGGAAAAGCTACCATTTTGGCACAATACGACCGAATTCAACTAAATTCGCCTGTGACCCCAAACTCAAATGCGTTTGATTTTCAAGGTCCCCAGTCAAATCAGTTGTATTGTGCCAAAGCAGTAGCTTTTACCCCATCACTGGAGGAAAATCTGGTTGATACCGAACCAATCAGATGAATAAGACTGGCAGTGTGCATCACATAATAAGCAAATGCAGTTGAACCCGGTTGCAAACTTGCAAGGAAATCCTGTCAGAAGATAAAATGGCAAAAAAATATAAATAAATAAAAAATAAAACCTACAAAAAAGTTATCATGTATTTACCGTACCTATTTAAAAACAAAGAAATCATGATGCACATTGGGCATCTTGTTGAGACGAAAATAGGCACCGTATACGCAATCATTTATTATCAAATCCATTTTGTCTCAAAGACACCCGAACAGCCATCCTTTAGAGCAGATATACGACTAGACACATTATAAAAAAAATAAATACATTACTCTTTTATCGAACACAGAATGGCAATTTGGTTTACAATTACAAACGTACATTCGTACCCCAAAAAAAAAAAAAAAGAAGAAAATCATAAATACATACATACATAAATACGTACACATACACATACATAAATAAAAAAAAATATTACACCAATACAGAACAATTTCACAAACCATGCGATTGCTGACCACCACTACGCAGCGTCCTGGTTATATATTTTTTTAATAGCTAGGGTTGTCGTGTCTCGCTCAAGGACACACCCGAGTGACCACCCATTTGATCCCCTTGTCACAGACCCTTGCTTGACTTTACCCTCGAGTCTGAACTCACCACTCACTTAGCCGCATTAATTGTAACAAAAGCACCACAAAATGAGCTTTTAGTAGTGTTTTAAAATCCCATTGATGTAACTCAGATTATTTAGGAGCTGCCTCAACCCTGAATGGCAAGGCCAGCCCGGGCTGACTATGGTGCAGTGGGGGCGGATGTCCCAGCAGAAAAATTTATTGTAAAGCGCTTAGAGCATGTCAGTTGTGTACTTTAATTGGGGTTGAGGGTTATGTAATTGCCGTCTACTACTACTACTACTACTACTACTACTACTACTACTACTACTACTACTACTACTACTACTACTACTACTACTACTACTACTACTACC